ATCTATTGTGATACTCAAGAAGTAGCTGCAGCTCTTTAGCTCCGCATTGATTGTATAACCCATGCAGAAAGTACAGCCATACTTTTCACAATATTATTGCATTTTGTGTTAATTATTGGGTGGGATCTGTACCCACTTCCCGGGCTCAAGTAAATGCAAATGGACTTTAGTTTGTGGTGCTATGTATAATAGCCAATATATGAGCGTAGCATAATGTTAAGCCAATCACTCACAGAATGTACAATATACATTGTATAGTAATTAATGATTATCATAATGTTTTATGAAACAACTTCCCTTTGCGTGTTTGTGTGTTATTTATGGTGTTTTCTCTTTTTTTCTATCTCCACTTAAAAGGCGTGCATAGTATTGATTAAAGCATTTGCAGATCATAATTATTATTATAGAGAAAACAGAGGGGCAAAGTGATTTCATGCCTTGAATTGTGACTATTATTGTGATTTGTGATTATTATACAGGGCATTGTTTACCCAAGTCCAATTCAGTTTCTTCAGTTTAATATATATTTTTATTTTAAAGATAGCCTTCAAAACTTTTTTATCAATTTTTTAGAATCATGAGAAAATATCCCATGTTACATGTACATGTACATGTTCTTTGAAGTATGAAAAATTAAGACATTATGTTACAAGTACTGTATGCATGTTTTTTGGCACAAATTGTTTTTGAAAAGATCTGAATTATATCTTCTCTAGAATAAATGTTTTCTTACTAACTGTATTTGCCCCCACTTGTTATTCTAGCTGTATCTTTCCTTTTCATTTGCATTTCATACTAAGGATATCACTATGAATACACAAGTGCGAATATTGCTATGTTAAAAGGTAGGGATATTCCCCTGGGATATTCCCTACAGTTTACAACTAACTACCTGCCATTCTTAAGGTGCATTATCCATATGACTCAGAATGAACAAGGGTAGGAATGAGAGTTATGATAGCTTTTAGCATTTATACAAGTACAAATACTGGTACATTAGTAAACAGACAGATCAACTAAACATAACTGGCAGGTAATAGTAGAATCATGTTCTTAGAATAATATGCTGACTAATCTATAAGAACACACTCTTGCATTATTAACAAGGTATTAACACACACTTATGTCTTATGTATATATACCGGTACCTTATGTCTTTACACTTCTGTAGTCTAGTATTTTAGGGATTTTTGTAAAGTTTATTAATTAATAGTCTTATCATAGCCTGATGTATATTGGTGAAAGTTAGATATTTGGCAACTTGCTGAAATTTTTGCAATTTGCAAATTTTACTGTTAGTGATTCATAAATCATGCATGGTAGATTTTGTATTGGTTGTTACTTAGCACACCGTCAATCTGCCAATATAAGTTCTCTGTCAATATTTCTAACTGTAAAGCACTTGTAATTATCATAATTATTGTGCAAATATTATTGTTTAACTAATTTTATGTAATATCTACCTTTATTTTTACTTAGATATTATTTCCTGGCTGACACGATCCGTACTGTTTGCAAGTTGTGTGAATGTACTTTATTTGACATCAGAAGGAAATAATTATTGTTTACTATAATAAACACCACAATGCCCCCATGGAAATTACCAGCCATACAGTATTACCAGCCATAGGAAATTACCAGCCAACTGTCAAAACCGCAAATATTTAATCCGCAAACCAGGTTATTTTTAAGGATTCGCAAAATTTTTCTCCGCAAAATTAACCAGCTGTACGGTATCTCATAAACATCTATGAATAAAAACATAAAAATCATGAATCATCATTAATAATTGCGTGTAGGCACGCCCACCATCTTCAAGCCTCTTAATTAATCCCAACGATTGAAAGTCTCTTTCTCTTTTGTCACTGGTTGTACTTAGCTCGACTTGGCTTTAAGTACTGATTCAGCCGTGTGTTAATAAATACCGAGGCATAATATATCTATGACTGCGAGCGCCCACTTACGGGCTGCATCGGTTGTTGTTGGCTTGTTGCTATTATAAAGGCGAAAGCACGGTGAGTTGGATTTTATTACCAAATATTTTATATAATTAACTCATTAATTTTATTGATAGGGTCATGGCTAGTTTAAATTTTTGTGTATCATGTAAACGTTCCCTCGATCCTAATGCCAGTTTTTGTGCACAGTGTGGATCACCGCAGTCTTCTTGCATGGAATGTAAAGTACAACTTCCTCCTAATGCTCTGTATTGCGTCAGTTGTGGTTTGTTCCAAATACACCCACAAAACCCAGATTCTTCTATGAAACTGTGTGTACACTGCAAAGCTCAATTACATCCTAATGCTACCTTTTGCGAAAAGTGTGGCAAAACTCAATCTCAAGAATTTCAAAGAGTTCCATGTATACTCTGTAATCGTTCATTAAGAGTAAATACTCAGAATTGTTCTTTTTGCTCAGCTCCACAAGATCCAGAAGAATTTAGCAAGCAATCTTTCAAAGAGTGCCTCAAATGTGGAGTTCGTTTGTTGTTTGAGGCAAAAATTTGTCACAACATAGGTTGCTTTGCGTATCAAGGCAATCCTATTCTTCCTACACCTAATGTTACAATAAATCTTGATGTTAAACAATTGACTGATGATAAAGTTGATTCTTCTGATGATCAAAAACCTATTCCAGAGCTGCAACCACAACCAAGTGACCAACCAAAAGAAGAGCAGTGTAAATCTCAGCAAGATTCAATGGATGCTCATGTCATTCCATTAGGGAAAATAGTTAGTCCACTAAAACGTTCTGGTGATGATGAAAATGATTCTGATGATAAGAAGAAGAAATTGAGGACATCTGATGCAGCAGCTGCTGCTAGTGGAGCTGTCATACAGCAAAAGGTTAACACATGTGGTATTGAAGGAGAAAGTGCTACCAAATCACTAGTTGGTGATCATCAGCCAGCAACTGTTGATACTCGAAAAAGGAAACAGGCTGATCACAATCACTCACAAGGTAATTACTTTACCCCTCCGCTTGCTAAGAAAGTAGAAGATGACTCACATATTACTCAGACACAACAAGATAGAGATCCAAGAGAAAGTGATGTTGAAAATAAAAGCTTACAGACTATAATATGTGTACAAGCTGATCCAAACAAAATGGAGTGCAATGATGAAAAGACAAAAGAAAAGGATGAACATGGGCAAGAGAATCAATTAGCAGAAATGACATTGCCAAACAAACAAGAAATTATCAGTAATCAAACAGATCCATCAGAAAGCACTGATGTAATGGGACCTTCATCAACTCCTTCAACTAATACGCCATCACTGCCAGCCCTTGTTGGTGCTCCTATTGTCTCATCTATTGATCCTGTTACTTCATCTGCTTCTGCTACTCTGTCTCCTATTCTGTCTCTTGCTACTGTTGCTTCATCTCCAGCTACTTATACTTCCGTTACTTCATCTCTTGCTTCAGTTACTTCACCTTCAGAGTCTGCTACTGGTACTCCATTTCCTAATTTATCTCCTGTACTCGCTACTTCATCTTCAAATACTACTACTCCAACTCCTAGTCCATCTTCTGCTCTTGTTACTTTACCTTTGGCTACTAGTGCTACTTCATCTCCTACTTCTGCTACTCCATCTACTAATTCTTCTCCAAATTCAGCTCTTGCTCTTGTTTCTTTATCTCCTAATCCTGTTACTTCAACTTCTGCTGTTTCTACTCCATCTCCTAATCCATCTGATGCTAGTTCTACTTCAACTCCTCCTACAGCAGAGTCTTCTCTTCCTGCCTCTGTTACAAGTCATACTGGTACTGGTAAATTTCCTTCTGAATCTGGCAATGTACCAAATGATAAGACAGATGTAGTTGTTAGCGATAAACTAAATGAACCTGCTGTTGATCCTCAACAGCAGGTAGCACTAGCTAAAAGTGATAATCCTAAAGCTAAAGGTGGCAAAGGTGAAAAAGGAGGAAAAAAAGGTAAAGACAAAGTAGATAAACAAACAGATCAGTTTGAAAAGAAACCAGAAGAGCAGAAAAAGCCAAGCAATCCAGTTCCCAACCTGTAAGTAACTGACTTGATATAATATTAGTACACAGTATATACACTTTTCCATTACATTAATTTGTAGACCCAGGACTCCCCTCTTTGTTTTGAATCAACCTAAAGAAAAGTCAATGAAAATAATATTTTGTGCTGTAATTCACTTAAACAGTTGGCATTATAAGGAAGGAAAGTCTTCCATTTATTTAAGATTTGGTGAGAAAGAATTAGGAGATTGGAAAACTGACATTGGTCCTTGTGAATTAGTAAGGTTTGTTAAATTATGCATTAATACATTATTGTTGTTACCGTTTGTATATTTTAATGCATTATAGTTTTGGTTTATAACTAAAAGTGCCATTTTAGTTATCGTATAGCCAAAAATTTTCAAGGCTTAAAATTTCGTGAATAATGAAATTTATGGAGAAATTTTTAATTTCGTGATAAATATTTTCGTGATTTTATTTTAATAAATGACCACATACGCCTTATTTATTTAAAACATGGCAGATTCAATGTTTGAGACGGACTCTTGTGTCAAGGGGCACCATGTCTATAAATCAGTGTGGACACCAGTGATGGGGAAGATCATCTTTGACCTAGGCAGTATGCTTAAAATAGCAATACAGATTAACAGAGACATCAGCTTGACCGAGAACACGACTTGACACGAGGGCACATTTATTAGTAAGGTGTATTAACCACGCCTTTCAATTAATATTTATTTTCGGGGGTTTAATTTTTGTGATGCAAACAGTGATCACAAAAATACGAAAATTTATTCCTCACGAAATTTTTTGGCTATACGGTAATTTGTATGCACTATTTATGCCATTTATACCTGTACTCACCCATTTTAATTCTTAAGTTATTTGCCTATGCAAGGCGTGAACAAATCCAATAATTGACTAATTTGTGGTTAAAAAATTTAATTAGCAATTATGGCACTGACATAGACAGTTATTGTCAAATTTTTTGTACAGTCTACATGAAGGCGCTACACAATTGTGAAAGGATCCTTTATGGCTTCACTTCCTGACACATCATTGATAAAATGATATTCATTGCCAATAGCTTATGAATATAATTAAAATCATTCAAAATTTGAACCACATGTAGCTGATACCTTAAACCTACTATTTTTAGCGTCTACTAAATTTAGCTATTATTAGCGAGAGAGCTTTAAACCGCTAAATTAAATAGACGCCAAAATAATTATTATTCATTATACTGGTTAGTTAATTTGGCTAAAAACGCTAAAATTAGTGACGCTAAACATGACTTTTGCTGATTTCGCTAAAATTAGTAGACGCAAATAATAGTAGGCTTAAGGTAAGCTGATAATTAGGCAATTTCTGAAAAAACATAGTAACTTTGAAGGGAAATTTACCTGAATAAAATAAGACCCAGCAACTGAGGAGATTCACAATGTATTAAGTAAAGGTAAGTACAGTACCAGAATTTGGCAAAGGCCCAGCACCCCTGTGAATGATTTGCACAAAAATCAAAGTTGCTTTGTGGCTAAAAGTGGAAATGGTGGCTGTGCAAGTAGAAGTGTATCTCCTAAACATAAGCACAAATGGAGCTCATTTTTGATAATAGCAAAGAGGAGAGTTGGTTCTATCTGTGTATGGCAAAATAAGGAGAACAGCTCTTGTAAATTAAGGATTTTAGGTCGCCTAATTATGACCAATATTATGGCACTTTTTCTACAGCTATATCTGCTCCATTAAAATTGAAACTAGCAGGACATGTAGACTTCACCTTTCTAAGTCTATAGAAAGACTGTAGAGGTTCCAGGTATTTTGTGAATGATTTGCACAAAAATTAAAGTCAAACAATTTTTATTAGGCCAAAAATTTTCACGGTGACATATCTTTGCTTAAACTTCGCACATGAAAACTAAACGTGTTTCCTATAACAAGCAACTTCTCCTCTCTTAATGGTGCTAGTTAGAGCACTGTAAAAGCATCTATGTAAGAGGAATAAGTAAAATAATATGGCTATCCATTATAGCATGAGGGAAACCATATAATTTCCTGCACTTCCGGTGTTCAGAGAAGTGTAGTGCCTTCGTGCATGTAGACTGGTAATAAAAACTTTTCTGCATGTTTACTAATTTTAGTCCATGAAAAAGTACGGTTAAAATTAGAAGTTATTGTCAAACTTTATATTACTAAGCAAGGCTGCTTAAGTTGTGGCAGCCATTTTATTTTGGGGTGAATCCTACTTAGTAATGCTACCGCGTTCATTACTAATACCTTAGTTCATGGCAGCTACTATATCAAATGAGAATTTAGTTATTTAGTTAATTTAATTCACAGAGATGCTGGAGAAGGCTTTCATGTAGTGAAGTACAAGATGAAAATTGATTGTGAGTTTATGAAGAGACTAAGAATTGGCTTGTGCTACAAATATGTGGTATATTCACCAAGAATGATCACTGTTTCCCATCAATATGAAAAGCTACATGGAGCCCCATACTCACATTATGTAAGTAACAGGCTACTAAGGATTCCTCGAGATAAATTGAAAGCAGGAAGTATGTGAATATAAACTTTTTAAAAGTTATTTTAAATTAATATTGTTTAGTAATTTACAGACATTTTGACAC